ATACGTACGTACGTACGTACGTACATACATACATACATACATACATACATACATACATACATACATACATACATACATACATACATACATACATACATACATACATACATACATACATACATACACACATCCATACACACACACACACACATATATATATATATATATATATGTTATGAATTAGATGTTCATGGATGAATATTATATATTTGAAAAACTTAAATACTACCTGCATTTGCGAGAACTTTGAATTTCTACCATATTTTATCAATGGATACATATAATAGATCGGCTTGCCAAAGCCTGCGCTATTCGTATACGTTGGGACCTCTCCTACAAAGCGACATACCTGCACAGCCGCAGCATTGTTGATCATTTTCTCAAGTAGGGCGAGAAACCGCTTCTCGTCCAGCTGGAAGTTTTGCATGAAGTCAGTCATGATGTAAATAATCAATTGTGCTGCAGACTGTTCGCTAATGTGGTGTCGAAGTGTGTACTGTGTAGCCGTGAATGGCTCGTTCAAATGTACATATCTTTATTTTGCTCCACAGCGCTGATGAGACCAGTGACAACAGCCCAAAAAAAAACTGACATACCTCTTTGTGATCAAAGTGACTACACAACACATTTTTATTTACGCGGACAGGAATTTCTCTGTTTTGCGGACAGGAATTTCTCTGTTTCTACGTGGACAGGCCCTTATTTTTGTGTCCAAATGCCATGAATGGACAGGACAATTTGAAAAAGATCCCGGACGGACATGGTCCTCTCATCAGTGTCAGGACTGTCAGACTGTCAGCCTCTCCGTCTGATTCTGTGGTTTAACGACAAACCGCCGGACGAATGTTCTATTTTTAACTGCTGAGTGCTGACTGCTTGAGAGTCTGAGGCCCTCAATGCCTGACCTGACCTTTTCTATTTTTGTTTTTAAAAACAATTTAAAAAACCCCTAAAACAGTTTACACTTTACAGTTTCAGACAGCGCAGCCGCACACCGCATACGTTCTATTTTCAGGAGGCTATGCACCCCGTCGCACGGGCCTCGGCCCGGCACGGGGCCAGCCCACCTGACCCCGATAAAATATTTATAGACGGATTTAGAGTTTTCACTGGTTTAGGACAACCAAATTTTCTCCGGGGGACTATCATTTGCGGAATGTGCACAATATTCCCAATTTTGGAAAAATTCCATTGATGCCCAATCTTGGAAATTCCGTTGATGGGCTTCTGCCATGGATTCCAGTTATCCAGTGGGGTGGGTTTGCATTTCAGTGTTGCGCTAGAGATTTGAAACTAACCCCGTTCAGATTCATGTATGATACTGTATTGAAACACAACAAGCTAACATACGGAGTGCGCTATACATCTTTTCCTGCTCTTGTCCGTTGTAAATGTGTAATGGAAGTGCTAAACTAGATGGGATGATGCGCACCGACTATAAAATTTCTGCTTCGGTAGCGCTAGAGATAGCGGGCCACCGGATATAACGCCATAATATAAATTGGTAGATTGTAATCTCAATTCATACTTAAAATTATAATAAACTGAACAGTAGCTATAAAAAAGTTCTAAGGAAATTGTATATGGCTGGTACAAAAATGCATTTCGTAGATGATATGCCCTCATAGCCTTCAGGTGGGTTTTTATGTGTGTGCCATTCGTATACGTATGTACATGTACGTATGCGAGGAGATATTTTTTTTTGCTCAACGATCACCAACTCTTATACAATATTTTCAACATAAAACCTTATAACCACATCAAATACCATACAAAACGAACTCGCATTCACATACTCTCTTGCCTTCGACACACGCTGTTCATCATCCGGACAAGCTGGGACAAGAAGCTCGTCTTCGTTTACCAATAACATTACGACAGTTTGTATACCTACAGTAGCAATATAGAGTAGTCTTGCAGTTGTTATTGCTGCAGCGTACAATGCGACTAGATAAAATCGCGAATGAGAATGAATACTAAGCAAATTCCAGCCATGTGTGAAGAAGCTCACAGACTATTAAAGGTGTATTTCCGCTACTAGCGGCAAAAGTTTCATTCGCCATTCTAAACCGCACGCACTATGGCAATGTGTGGTGTGATGATCTTCAACAATATTGGAACATCTCATGATGGTACATAGTGTGTAATGGCAACTAGCACGCAGGAACTGTTTATTTATGTCAGCTGACAGCCCGGTAACTAGGGAACTGCTGACAATGGGTGTGATCTAAAATTCCGTACCTCAGCATACGGATCAATACCTATAGCAGAATTAAAGGAAGAACATCATGACCCGATACACTATTGACTGACTGAACAACTTCTCTGAGTCAATATCGACTGTGGGCCCTACTATAGCCCGGGCCAGTAACTGTATACTCATCAGCGATCGGAAGAGCGAGAGGAAATGTTCGTATGCTGTTCGACGCGAACGCCGCTTGAATGGCAATATATCATGAGTAATCAAGCGGAGCAACGCATAATATGTAACGGCCATCAGTTCAAGGTACAAGAACAGATACGTCAGCGGTTTGACAATGCCGAAGATGAACAGCATGAAGACAACATTCAGGATCTGTGACATGTTGCCCACTGGCCTCGGAATAGAGATGGTTGATCTGCGCCTGTACTTCTTGATGTGCTTGGTGTGGTGCCTGGCACGGTACTTCTCGTGCAGAATGGCACTCTTGGCCTGGTCCAGAATGAACTGCGACTGTTCAGGGGCACCTTGCTCTAGTGCCGTCTCGACATCCCGCATCATGTCGGTCATCTCGCGCTGCTGTTGTTCGTGTTCCAAGGGCATGTCATCCGGATACTCATCTACAACCTTGCCATTGAGATGGACCCCCTTGCAATCGCTCAGCCAGTAGGGAGCCTCGTAGTTCTGCGGCCGTTCGTATCCGTTAGCTTCAATCCACGTGACAGCATCTTCATAACCCAATCGGAACAGTTGCTCAAACTCGTCCTCAGTGCCTGGGTAACACGCCCACCAGGCAGGAATGAATTGTGATGGCTTGATATCGGTCCTATGGAAATAGAACGGCGACACGGTGATGGTGTTTTCATCCAGTAGTGGTTGGAAATCAGCCAGACCTCCGTCAGCCACAAGGGTTCCGTCCTGTGTGGTGGCAGAGATAGAGAGTGACAAAGTTAAGCGGGTATGTTGGGTATTCGTGATACGCACAGACGAGCGTGTGTTATATTCCAACGGAAACTATATGAGACATGATCATCAAACAGGATCAAGACATATGTTATGTAGTACATTCATACCGGCAAGTTGGAGCGTGCGCAAACAAGAAGTAAGCCAATCAGGACAACGAATCAGCAAATGTGAGACGCAACAACGTGGATAATTGGGTCGGCAAGGTATGCGGAATGCGCCCATACTCACACACATGTGACACACTCTAGCTCGTGTGCAATCGCGTAGGAGATGGTAATAGATCACAAGATAATTCATTTGCACATAGAGATCACTTACAAGTACGAACGGAAATCCCGCAATAGGGGGTGCCGTACAGCTAGCCAACAGCACATCCTTGAAGTGATCGTAATCAGTGTATTTGGAGTAGCGGAAACCATGGCAACCAGGTAAGGCTGTCACGGCCACTTCCATGCGCTCTTCCAATTGCTGTTGGTAGTGCTTAAACTCTTTGGGACCCAACTTCTGGTCAACTATGTCCACAATATACTTTCTCAGCCTGAACGCGTTCATGTTTAGGACAGGCTCGCGCACGTCTCGTATGCAACCCAAGGTATACTCTTTAAGTGAAATGAAATCTACGTCAACAAGGATCGCCGCTGCTGTAAGTGCTCCCGCCGAACTACCAACAAACTTTGCTTTCTTGTCGAGCTCGTAACGCTGCAGGGCCATAGCCACACCAAAGTGGTACATCTTCAACCATCCACAAGCCGCAAAGGAAAATGAGAGCTCTGGCTTGCCGTGCACCTGTGTCAAATATTTGATAGGCGTAAATAGTGATACAAATATTGACATGCTTGAATAATACTTTCTGATTCACACACACACATATATATGTATATATTTATGAGGATGTTTATGCATATATATATATGTGTGTGTACATACACATACAAATATACATATAGCTTTCTATATAAATATATAAATACATGTATATAGATCTATGTATACTATCCATAAAATATTGTGTATACACATATTTGATACACACGCACACGCACACGCAAATATATTTATATATATACATATATACATTTTTTTTGAAAATGCAGGTGTATATTTCTCTATATATATTTAGAAATATACATACATACATATATATATATATATGTATATATATAAACATATTCATATAATCATATATATATATCTAAATCTATATATCTATCTGTATGTAAGTATATATATATATATATATGTGTAAGTATATATATATATATATATGTGTGTGTGTGTGTGCACGTACATATATAATGCAAATATA